AGGAGGTGTGTTCGTTAGAGGTCTTGATTAATACAGATTTAGATGATGTGGGGGGTGGTGGGGGAAGCAGTGAGTGGGATGTGGGTGGTGGTGGGGGAAGCAGTGAGTGGCTTTATGGGAGGAGTGGGTATCTTTATCTTTTGAGGATGTTGAGACATTTTTTCCCTGCCCCTGACCTGAGGCAGGTGGTTGATTTAGCTATCAACAACACCGTTGCACGGATTATGTATGATTGGAGAGCATACCCAGATGGGGAGGGATGGATGTGGCATGGGAAGAAGTACTTGGGTGCGGTGCATGGAGTAGCTGGGATCGTTGCGCAGGTGGTCATGAGCTGCAGAGTCACTGGCATTCCGATACCCGAAGAGTTGGAGGGCATAGTCTCGGGCTTGCTAGATCAGCAATTCGATACCGGCAACTGGCCGTCGAGCAAAAATTCGTCGCGGGATGACCTGGTCCAGTTCTGCCACGGGGCCCCAGGGATACTTATTTCCCTCATCCCCATCAGAGACTCCTTCCCCGCTCTGCGTCACCGGATTGATTCTGCGTGCACTCGCGGGCGACAGGTAGTCGAGCAACGGGGGCTATTGACCAAACCCCCTAGTCTATGCCATGGGGTTAGTGGGAATGCGTTGGCGTTCGAGGATGAGGAGACGTTGGGGAGGTTTATGGGGTATACGACGAGGGAGTATCTGGAGAGGAATGTGGGCGTGTTTAGGGGTTTGGGGGAGAAAGAATTGGTGGATGAGGGGTTTGGGTTGTTTACGGGGGAGGGAGGGAGGGCGTGGGGGTTTTTGGTGGGATATTTGGTGGGGCAGGGTGGAGGAGATTTGTGGGGAAGGGTGGTGGGATTTAATGATTTGTGAGGAGGTGATGGGATGGAAGGGTAGAGGGCAGTTTAATGAAAGAGATAGTGGGGAGATGTTTATTATTTTAGTATCAAACAAAAGTATACATATATGTACTTTCGAGCCCGAAGTCATATTCTTCATTGCAATGCAATAATCTCATAATATATCACCTTTGTTTCCCAACGCCCAGCCCATTGCAATTAGATAGTAGACCAAGGTACTAACTCCCCCAGGAAATTTGTTTCAGGAAGTCCCTTTTGCCTGCAGTAGAATGCATTTCCTCGTTGCCACTGCTGGTAGCGAGATATTGAAATCCCCATATCCAATTTGCACTTGAGTTTTACTTCCACTGTCGTTGCAGTACCTTGCGCAATGCTTCCTGGTCTCCTCTTTGATCTCCCTCCCTTCCCCATACTCTCCTAAGTCCCAACAGAGCTCTGTGAACATGCGACTCACGTTCCCGAAGTTCTCCCTCCTCTGGAACGTTTGAGTACTCTAAAGTCACACAAGTCAAAGAAATTCCAATAGAGGCAAGCTTCTCCTCCGCCCCGCTCATCTTCGTAGGTAAAAAAGATCACGGGATTATAACTATTTTTATATGAATAGTTACATGGTTCACTAGGCTCATTGGTCTACATAGTCTGTTCGCATTTACGGGACAGAGCTACCATTACTGCTTTCGTCTTTTACTCCATCTTCCACCACATTGGCAGTTACACCTTTTTTTAGTGTCGTTGGAATGGAACGAACGATTGCTTTTGTCCTTTGTTCCAGACTACCTACGCCTAATATAGCCTAGTTGGATTGTTGGATTAGAAATTTGAAGTGAGCGAGTTATCACGGTAATCTAACGATCAAAACAAGGATTCCTTGGGCAGCACATGTGTGGAAGAAGGCAACCTTTTTATCGTATACTCAAACATTATCATGCACGTTTACGGTAAGCTAACGTAGAAGTCTAGTTGGCACAATCCCCCCACCAATCTAGAGGAATCAGATCTATGAAGTGAAAATTGAGGCGTAGGTAGTTTTAGTTCGTTGCAAGGGGAGGACCCTGGAAAATCACTAGGCGTGAGAATTGCAACAATCCCCTTTTCTCGGGGTAAATAAAGTTATTTCAGGGTAATATTCTACCAACCTCCATTCATCATCTGAAAGTTAATCCCATCGCTCATGATCTAAAAAAATATGATAATTTATGACAAAAGCCCAGGATAGACGTGTTAATAAATCAGAATAAAAAAAATTAGCATTGATTTATCATACTGGAATGATAGAAATACAATACCCACCACAAGTATAACCTCAGGACAGGTACATTAACAGAAGAGACTGCTCCTGTAGCTATTACTTCACACCCCATTCTCCCCCCTCTTTCAGGGTAATCAGAGTATTTAGGGTAATATTCTACCACCTCCATTTATTATGTAGAGTAGATACTCGCCACTAGTTTGAGGCTAGGGAACTTGATTCTATGACATGCTACCAGATAATATGGCCTTGAGTGATTTTTTGGTCACTATCAGAGTGGGTAATTCCTGTACGGGGTAGTTATGAGTTGATATATGTCAAGGGGGGTTGTATTCAATGCTTTATTGCTCTGACCAATACATACCGGTCCCATGGGCTTTTCTATTCACTTATTTAGTATGTGTATGTGTATGAATATAGAGCAGGTTCGATATAGTCGGGTACGACCCTAAGTTCTATAAAATTGGCATAGAAGTGATCGCGAGGCATGTGGCAAGTATGCAGGGATTCATTGCCGTCGCTTCCCCATCCCCTGTCACTTTCGTAATAGTATATCTCCCGCTATTTTACTTGAGCGTAGCTCAGACTACCTCGTCCCCAATTCGCGCCTTGTTTATGCTGACCACGTCCACCTGCTCGACCTTGTCAACCTCGCCCTCGTCCGCCATCTAAATATCTACTACCCGCCCTCAATATTGATTTCCTTCTTGAACTTAACATTAAACCACTGTGCCAACTCCCACTGTGTTGCCTTCGGATGTCCTTGTGCATGCGAAAACAACTGGAAGCGCTCACTATCTGTTGGATCAACCTCTCGATGGCGGAGTGATTTGGGGTCTACTCTATGTTGATCAAGCGGCTAGGTTCGATTGCAATTGAACTGATAGATGTATCTATTATAGATGTAGAGATCATAGTACAAATCTCCGCACTCTGCAAATTTTCATCAGTTGGGTCCGCCCCCATGCTACTATTATTGTAGATAGATATGCAGGGTATATTGTTAGCACTTTGCAGGATTGGGACTGGTAAACTGCTGCATGCTATTACAGAGTTATGCTATTTTTGCCATCGTTATGCAATTATAGAGGATGCTATTATAGAGGTTTGCCTGTAGAGCAATACATTGCGGGAAAAAATGGAAAGGGGCTGGTCAACTATTGTATTGAGATAGAGGGTGGTAGAGAGGTGGTAGTGACAGAGATAAAGTGGGAGGACTTCAACTAGGGCGTGGCACAGAATACTGTTTAATCGGAGTCTGTTTTATCATGACGAAAGTGGAAAGCTGGAGAGTTAGATGAAGCATTTATCACTCATTGCTTTGGGATTGTTACCAATGCAGAAAAATGGTTGTTTATGAAATGCATACACGACCAGAATGAGAGACCTAAGCTTAGGCTATCTTGTACATACACCGTGTCATATGGCAAGCAAAGTATACAAGAGGATATAAAAGAGATTCTAGAGGTTATCAAGTGGTTGTTAACTGAGGTACTGAAAGGTACTACTATGGCTGCAGCTGCACAGATTCAAGAAAAACGTTGAAAATTGATCACGGAAATAAGTCACCTTGAGTGAGTGTAAGTTTTTGTGATGAGGAAATCATTCAGATGATTTAGATGTAATAGTATAGTATAGGGTAATTTTTTTTTAGTCCTTTATTCCACTATGACAGCTTAATTTATATTGTTGGCTTTTTTTCAGTGTTTGCAGTATTATTTATAGCGAAGTTTATGATTGGAGCTTGGGTGTGTAGATGAGACTCAATAGGGGTTATCGGTATGAGCTTGTAGCTCGAGGTTTTAGTGTTTTTGATATTGATTCTAGCGACGGCTTGTGTTGCTATATAATGAAAACATAATGATTATGTCCTCTAAACCACGGCCCCCAATTGTGTTATTTAAGCTCCATAACGTGAAGCATACAATGCGTGGCGGGAAGTTATGCGCATTTCTAAGAGTGTACCTACGCTGGCAGCTCATTCCCGAGGATCTCAGCGAAGATTACGAATTGGAAACGAGTGGATGTACAAAAAATATTCTTTTTATTAGACAGTATCTCGTATATAAGCTAGTACAGTAGAACTTCATCACAAGCCTTTCCGTTACAAGAATAAATTCGGCTATAAGGCTAGATGCTAACCGCCTCATATAAAATAAGAATAAAATCTCTTATAAAAAATAGATACTAGCAGGTGAATTTAAGTACTAGCTGGAGTTATTTAGGTAGTACCAAGGGGATTATTATTCTAGAAAGGATCATAAGGCTTAGGAACTTTTTTCTACAATCTATTCTAACGACCGACAAATGGGTGTTTAAGATATCAAACCGAGCAATCCGTCCCCCCGAGCAAAAAACAGTAAAGTTTAAAATTTGTTATCCCAACAAAGGGAACAGAGGTAACAAGGGGAAAAAAAAAGGAAAAAAAAAAAATCATAGTACAAAGGATCTTTTAGGGGTGTGAGGGGGTAGCTACATATCTGTGACATTGAAAATAAAAGCTCCATGTAATATAGGGCCATCATCATGACTGAACTATAGAGATTTGTTGGGCATTTCTCCGAAACCTTTGGATGATAAATTAGAGACAGCCGCCACACTGGCTATGACGGGAAGGAAGGAAATTTTGTTAGGTGAAGAGGATCTACAAGCTCCTCTCTGAAGACTTAGAATAATTGTAGTGGGGGGGAAGGGTATAATTACCATCAGTATTCTTTTTTTCTATGTAATAGAAGTCTATAGGTTGCAGGTATAAGTTTTTTTTTTTCTTTTTCAGCTAGTTTGCTTATTCTGCTTGTTGTCTTCCTTTTTTTTTTTCGAGGCTTCTCGCTTAAATGGGGGGTGAAACTAAGAATAGGTGGTTTATATTTTTAGGCATGTCAGGTCAACTTATAATCCGGCTCAATGGTCTAGTCGTATGATTCTCGCTTTGGGTGCGAGAGGTCTCGGGTTCAATTCCCGATTGAGCCCTTTGAAATTCATCTTTTTTGCCTGTCAAATCTTTTTTTTAGTCGTATGCAGACTTTGTGTCCATTACTGCTTTCGTCTTTTACCCCATGATCTAACCATTTGTTCGCATTTACGAGGCAGAGCTAGCCAACACCTTTTTTTATGCGTCGTTCAATCCAACCACCATTACTGCTTTCGCCCTTTACCCAATATTCCACTGCATCGGCAGTTACACCTTTTTTGGTGTGTTGTTGGATCGAACGAAATCACAATAGTCTGGTTAAATCACAACAGTCCATGTAATTCCCAACAAAGCTAGTCAGGCTCGAGTCACCCATTTCTATTCCTTCCTAGAATAGCCTAGTGCGGAATGTTGGATTTCCAATCACTCTCATCTCACATGCTCAGTAGGGGACATTCTTTTCGACTGATTTTCGTCCTCCTAATAGATGTTGGATTAGAAATACCGCCAACAATCTCACATACTGTACGTTAACAAGGATAGTCAGGCTCGAAGTTACAAGACCATATCTCGAAAATATGCCAAGTGGGGGTGTGCTTTTCGCATTCGTTCCACATTTATACAAGTAGAGCCAACAAACACCCTTTTAAATTGAGATCGAACGACCATTACTTGCCAGTGCTTTCATATTTTATCGTATACTCAAACGTTATCAGGCACGTTTACGGTAGGCTACGTAGAGGTCTGGAGGAATCAGATCTTATGAAGTGAACATTGAGGCGTAGTATTGGTTCGTTGCAAGGGGAGGACCCACTCGGCGTGAGAAATTGCAATAATCCCCTTTTTCAGGGTAAATGGAGTAATTCAGGGTAATGTTCCGCTAACCTCCATTCATCATCGGAAAATTAAGTCCATTATTCGTGATTTTAAAAATACGATAATTTATGACAAAAGCCCAGGATAGGTGCGTTAATAAATAAGCATAAAAACCTAGCATTGATTTATCACACTGGAACAATAGAAATACGATACCCACGACAAGAATAACCTCATGCCCCGGATCTTGTTGTTGTTTCATTGTTGTTGTTTTCTGTCGTCTGGGAGATAGTGTCACAACCGTTGCTTTGCTGATTTTGACTTTCTGGTACGACTCTCGGAAAAAGTGTCGGCCTTGGCGACTCCTCGGGCATTCTTGTATATATAGTCTCTTTCCTTTTGTTCTACTTCAACGACTTGTATCCATGCATCGACTGCATCGACTCGCATCCATGCATCGACTTGCATCCATGCACCGACTTACACGCACAATACAGTCCTTGGTTCACAAGTCCTCCAGCTCTTTTGCCTCCTCGTGCTCTGCAGCTCCGCTGCCATCTCTCAACGTAAGCCCGTTACTCGTGTGTCAGCCTCGCCAGTCCTCCCTTGCCCGGTTGGTCGTCTTGCCCTTGTCACCACCTTACAACCATCTCCACTGCCCCTCGACCAGAGTACCCCCCCATACACCAAAGACGATATCCGAATGCATTACCCTGTTCTGTATCGTTCACAGTGGGCAGGGTGTGGTACCATTTTCGGTTAAGGTTAATGGCGAATACAGTTTGTGAGCTCAAACAACTCATCAAGATGGCGTGCGCGCCTAAGATGAATAATATCGCTTCCCATAATCTCAAGCTCCGGAAATGGAATCAACCAGGGGACATTGACTATGTTCACCTGGATGGCATTGCTATGCTGAATCCTATGAAGAAAATTAGAGACATTTTTTGCGGGGATGGTTTTCCCAAGGAGAAATGCGTCCATATTATCATCACGGTTCCTGAACCAGGTAAGCGAGACTCGGATTTTATTTCTCTTTGCTGCCGCAATATAATGTCTTATTCTGATATCTCTTAGCTGACAATTATCTGGCATAGAAACCACTCCAGTAGAGGACTGGAAGGAGTTGCATCACCTACGAAAGATTGTTGAACAATTGAAAAACCCATTCCATGTATTCAACTTAATTGTTGAACAAAAAAGAATGAAGGCAATTGCCTGGAATGTCGATATCAATACTGCAACTCTGGACATGCTCAGTAAGCTAATCTGTAAAAGATATCCTGAGTATGAGGATAGTACCCTCCTATTCACTTTCAAGCTACACGAAAGCATCACCTACACCCCAGAAACCAATGAGCAGCTTCGAGAACTGCTTTCTTCCTTGGTTGTGAAGGATAAGATGACAGTCAAGATCTCGGTGGAAACTCCCGCAAAATCTTTCAGTGACTGGACCTTAAACGAGGTAATGCGGTTATATGAGATTTGCGATGACATACACATACCGGATACGAAATGGAAGATGAAACACGGTTTGTTATATTTCCCGGCGTTCATATGTAATCGCACTCCCATCCTTAATGAGAAGACTTTCCGTGTTCTGATGGATAGCTTGACACGTTTCCTTTTTACTACTCCACTCCTCAGGGAATCCCACGAATATACACACTCACTCTACGTGCACTCCTTTCTCAGTGCAGTGGTCTTTGACTTCATCCCCGATTCTCTAGAGCCAGCGTTTATGGAATCCGGCTTTATAGGATACGAGCCAAAGGTTGTAATTATTCCAGAGCAATACATTACGGGAAGAAACGGAAAGGGGCTGGTCGACTTTGCTATTGAGATGGTTGGTGGTGGAGTGGTGGGAGTCACGGAGGTGAAGCGGGAGGACTTTCGCCAGGGCGTGGCGCAGAACGCTGTTCAAATTGAGTCTGTTTTATCACAACGAAAGCGGAAAGCTGGAGGGTTAGATGAAGCATCTATCGCTCGTTGCTTCGGGATTGTTACCAATGCGGAAAAATGGTTGTTTTTGGAGTGTACACACGACGAGAACGGGATACCTAAGTTCAAGCTATCTCGTACATATGCGGTGGCATATGGCAAGCAAAGCATGCAAGAGGATATAAAAGAGATTCTAGAGGTTATCAAGTGGTTGTTGACTGAGGCACTGAAGGGTGTTACTACGGCTGTTGCTGCACCATATTTCAAGAAAAAAGATGAAAATTGATCACGGTATAGTCGCCTTGAGTGATGATTCAGGTGTAATTGGATGGTATGGGGTGGTGTTTTTTCAGTCGTTTCTTCCGCTATAACGGTTTGATTTGTATTATTAGCCTTTTCTCAGTGTGGTGTTTTTTCAGTTGTTTCTTCCGCTATCACGGCTTAATTTGTATTTTGGCTTTTTCTCAGTGTTTGCAGTGTTATCTACAGTTTATTGTGGTTGCGGGTATAAGTTTGTTTTCTTTTTCAGCTGGTGGTCAGGCTCTCTTTCTCTCTGCTTGTTGTTTTCCTTCTTTTTTTTCGAGGCATCTCGGAGGCGAGACTAAGAATAAGTAAATTATCTATGTTTATCTCGGGTTCAATTCCCGATTGAGCCTTTGAATCCCATCTTTTTTGCCTGTCAAATCTTTTTTTTTTTTTCATTCGCTAGGATACGGATACTAGTAGGATTCCGTATTTAGTCTTGTGCCTACCCGTATTAGGCGACCATGCGCCCCGAAATGGTAAGAGGCACAAACTTCGTAGCTCAGACTTGGGGGTATATAACAGTATTTATATGTACAACTAGTCTCTCTCTTTGAAATAAACATGCCGAGCATTCGTTCAAAAAAATAATAGCCAACAAATTCATTCATTGAGATGCTCAAGCGTGGTCTCGTGCTAAGATATGTTCTTCTACGCAGGCGAAAGGACGTATAGGAAGAAAAGAAAGAGCCTCGAGGTACGAGAGTATTCCCCCCCTCTCCCGGGTGCTTGTCCATAATAGAATCAGCGTGGAGGTCAAGAACGGCTTGAAGTAAGAGTTTGCAAATATCCTAAGATTATTGTTTTCATGTATGTGATGCTACTACAATTCAGCCGGTTCGTCGAAAGGCTTATTCAAGGGTCCACCCAATACATGGAGAAAAAAGAAAAGAAAAGAACAAGATACCCAAATCCGAAATTTAACCAAACCCACGATGTCCACCCCACGCCGAAGGTAAAAGTTGGCATAGACCGTAATCTTACTTTGGCCAAGAACTCCTCCTTTGGATGCCCCAGGCCTCCTTATGCTCCCTGTTGTCTTCCAAGCGGTTTTTGCTCACCACAATATCTTGAAGCATTCCAAGCGCTGACTCCGGGACCGGAGAGTTGGTGGGGTACCGCGGTGGTCCTTCGGCGGAAATTTCTGCATTTGGATGAATTCAACGCTACCAACATCCCCATATCCTCCATCCGTAACTCCCACGCTCTTCCAGCAAAGTACCACTTTGTCCGAGAGTTAGAAAATATTTTCAACTTTCACACGTAGAAACATGGTGAATGGGAAGATTTCATACCATCTTTGGCTCTATCGACGATGTTGTTGATCCAACTTCCCTTTGGTTGATTTACCTGCTTCCTACTAGCAACAGTATGTACAGCGGCTTCCATATCAATCTCCTCCCTTTGCATAGCGGCTTGTGTAACATACCGCTCCCTCTGCTGGTGGATGTCAATGAGCTGATGGACAGCCTTCTTAAAGAAGTTCGCATTGCGCTGATTTGAGAAAGCATAGTTGCCTGTACTCACTGTCTGTCGAAGAATGGTTTCGGAACGCCATCTCTTGACAAAATCACGAAAAGTCTCTGTAGGTCTGACTTTGTAGAATACAGGATTTGATTCCATTAAGCACCAGATATACTCATCCAAGCTGACAGCTGCAAAGTTATCGATCATGTTGAACCTATTCGCTAGTTTAGTGAGATATTTGAGTTTGGAGAAGGAGAACTAACCTCCCCTTTGTCTTGGGTCGTGGGGATCCCAAAGTAACAAGTAGCCGTTCAACAGCTTGTTTGCAAACCACAGCCTCTATTAGCTCCGACTCCGGTCCTATGTTATCCGGGTCTGGGTGTTGATATTGATTGACGAACCTTCTATGCCTCGCATCTCTGGTTCCATCTTCGATTGCATATTGACGGGCACACTTCCATAGTTGGGTCAGAAAGTTTTCCAACGACTGGTATATCTGGTGCATCTCCTCGATCACCTCAAAGGTATAGTT